ACTTGGGGGTGAAGATCCAAGCAGTCCTTTGTTGGGGGTGGCACCAACAAGCCTGTAGGAGGGGGCAGGCACTTCTTCCCCTTCCAAGTACAGCATGGGTTGAGCTTGCAGGGGAGAAAAAGTGACCCCCTGCCCCATGATGTAACCACACAACCCAGCACTCACCTGTCTGGTTCCTGGACAAAACTTTCCTTTGGACACGGTATCCTGAAAGTCCCAGTTCTGCATGGCACTCTGATTCACTCTGCATGACTGAACTCAGAGGGGCAGGCCACAGAGTGGTAGGGCAAGCTAAGTGATTCAACAGGTGAGAAGCTGCTGGCTGTTTGCTTTAGTTGGGGAAGAATGGTCCCCTTTCTAAAGCAACACAGTTCAGCCACTGTCTGAGTCTTCACCATGTGCTTCTCCAGAAAAAGACCACTCAAAAGGTCCCTGCAGGGTGCAGCCAGCAGACCCCTGTGCAAAACCTGAGCACAGCAGGGTGATGGCACCAATAGATGAAAGCCAGGCAATGCACTTCCCCAGCTGGTGCTATAACAATACGAGGGCTCCACTCTGGGAAGGTGGCATCTGGGTCTCTAGCAGACGCTCTTCTCTCCCAGGTGGACTGAATCCCACTGATTTTCACCACCAGGTGCTATGTGGGCCCCTCTGCCTGCCTCTTGCTCTGAGCTGGGAATCTCTGCATGGCATTGAGACCCCACACTCTTGGGGGAGGGAGTTTTGCAGCCCTGACATCCCTCCAGCTTCACAACTAATGCACATGGGTGTGGGGGCCAGACCTTTCCATATCTCTGCCCTTCTTACTGGTCTCTGTAGCTTCTTCTGTAAATCCTTGGTTGTAATATTTTAGTTCAGGTAGCTTTCAGTTGGTTATTCAGGTTGATTGCTCTATAATATATTTGAAATCCAATTTGGCACTGGGAGCAGGTAAGTATAGCTTCTACCTACTCTGTAGCCATCTTGGAATCCCTGTTTACTTATCTCTTAAAATTGGAATAATATCAGCTCAATGTTCCCATTAAAGCATGTGGCAAGGAATAAATGAGAAGAGCAAAACTCTTAGCACATGCCTGTCATTTATTAAAGACTCAAGAGCCCAGGCTGGTGCAGCTCAGTGGATTCACCCTAGGAGTGAATCCTAGTGAAAACTAGCAAACTAGGAGCACCCATTGTGCCACAAGGAGTGCCACTAGGAGTTTGCTAGTTTTTAAAAATAAGTGACCTAGTAAAGAATTTACTTCAAAAAACATTTGCCACTATCCATGGCACTGTACCAGCCTGTAAACCAAAAGGTCATGGGTTCGATTCCTAGTCAGGGTACATGCCTGGGTTATGGGCCAGATCCCCAGTGAGGGGCACATGAGAGGCAATCACACACTGGTGTTTCTCTACTCTTTGCTCTCCCTCCTTTCCCGTCTGCCTAAAATTAAATAAATCTTTAAAAAAAATGGAGCTACTGTTAAAAATAAATAAAGAGTCAAGAAATATCAGCAATTATTGAACTGGTAACTTGTGGAGCATTGAGATGTTTAAGACAAGATCCTTCTTTAAGAACCCCACATGTAGAGGGATAAACAGCATTATTAACAGACAGTTATAGTTATACAGGGTCTGACACAAATAATGCCCTTTTTATTATAAAACCTTTTATTATAAAATCATAAGCATGTAATTCTGCAGCATAACAATATCACAATCAAGCAAACCATATGACATTTTAGGTGAAATGTTCACATTGCTGTCCATCTCATGTGAGACATTCACATACCCTACCAACCACACTCAAGCAAGCCTTACTTCTGCTGGACCCTGTATGAAATCACAGTCTTAAAGGAAAGTCCAGGTAATATCAAAACACTCCAAGACACATCAACTGTAACCTCACCTAGGCATCACAGTGGAGGGGATTCAGAAATGTTTGCTATGTATTACCTAAGTATGGAAGGATGGGCAGGAGTTTGCTAGTTTTTAAAAATAAGTGACCTAGTAAAGAATTTACTTCAAAGAACATTTGCCACTATCCATGGCACTAACATGGCCTGAAATGTATTCTCTATATTTATCTGTCATTGTTTAAATTCGTTTTCAATTTGAACATTTCAAACAATGATGAAATTGTGCTTCCATGATAACCAAGTAATATTCTAGACCAGTGATTTTCAACTGATATGCCATGGCACCCATTGTGCCACAAGACTTTTTAAAACATGCAACACCTTACTGTTTAGGAGCACTGACCTCTTTTTCCTTAGATTGTGAAATTTTTAAAAAATGACAATAGCCAACACAACAAAAGCCATCTGGTGTGAATGAATCAAAATTATATCTATTAGATCAGCAAAAAATACATGTTTTGCTAATTATAAAATTCTGTGGCACACCACAGAATTTTATAATTAGCTTACATGTACCACAGGCTGAAAGAGGTTGAAAATCACTGTTCTATACCAATCCTCTCCCTCAGATAACAGCTATGAACTCTGGACAGAATACAAAAACAAATCCCTGAAGACACTGGTGATTGAAATGAAGCAGACAAACTTGGGAGGGAATAAACACTTGGAAGAAGGGATCTGCCCAAAACAAGCAACCTTTTTTTATTATAGCTTATAGGCCAGGCCATATTTGGAGGAATGCAGACAGGAGGCTAAAACTCTGATAGAAAAACCTACAGTGTTTCTGGACAGAAGAAGCAGAGGTATGAGTGTAGGACAATTAAAGCCACTGAAAAGTGAGGAGAGTCAGAGGAGTCCCAGGGTTGGTGTAGAAACTACCCCCAAGTATCTATTTGACCACTGAATCACTTGTGTGTGGGCAAACTTTAAGCAGCCCAACTAGAACTAAAATAAGGGAACAGAGATTTAAACTTCTACCCAAGAAACAGTTAAATTTGAAGTAAATTGCCTGTTAAACAAACTCTTTGAAGGTATATAATAAGATCCATACTTTCAATAATGAAACACTCATAATGTTCAGCATACAATCTGTAAAACATGTATAGCAACATTAAAATGGAGCTGTGAATGCCATGACAAAGCAACTGCCATTTCATGTCTTATGCCTTAAACCTTTGGAAAGTTGAAGCAAGGCAAAATATCCTTTGGACTGGACAGGAAGCAACACTGTCCCAGCACACTGTTTGCACAGGTAACAAGAGAGCAAATATTATGATGACCAGACCGTTGACTAATGGACTGAAAATTAAAAACATTGTTTAGGATGAACATCACTGTGTCGGCTTATGTGTGCCAACAGAAATGCTTTGCCTCTATGAATGCCATCATTCCCTCCCTTTCTCATGAATGCCCTTGTCTATCTCCTGATGAGAACCCTACTTGGGCTTCTATTCAGAAGTGCTTCCTGAATAACTATTCTTTTTTTTAATCTCAAATAAGTGCTTGTTGCCTCTTACTTTGAAAAGCCTTTTATTTTTAGGTTATTAAATCCAAAATTATTTGACATATGAAGACAAAACAGAAAAATACAATCCATTCTTAAAAGACAAACAGTCACAGGTGAACAACCCTAAAATGTATCAGATATGGAAATTAGTATATGCAGACTTCAAAGCAGCTATGATAGCTGTGCTCAGTGAAGTACAGGAAAATTCTCTTGAAATGAATGAGAAGACAGGAAGGTAGAGAAGACAGTAAAGTGGAAACTTATAAACCAGGAGCATCAAACTCATTTTCACCAGGGGCCACGTCAGCCTCATGGTTGCCTTCAAAGGGCTGAAATAATTTTAGGACTGTATAAATGTAACTACTACTTAACTGCTAAGGAGTTGAAATCACATTCAGCTCACAATTACTCTTATAATTCCCTTTTGTTTGCAACATTTTTCCTTGTTAATCTGTAAGAAGTAATCAGTAACATCCTTTCCTTTGTTATCTATAAAAAGTAATCACCTAAAGCAAACCTGAGCATAATGAATGAGAAACCCCTTAGATGTATACTATTAGAAAGCAATAAAATCCTGTCCAGGCAAGGGTCGATAACGCGTGAACCGGCCCACAGTGTCTGTGGCATTATGGATGAGATACAAGATAAATTCACATGGATTACCAAGTCCTGTGGAGGAAAAGGGATGGCACAGCTACTCTCTCAAGGGGAGAGTGCCTCAGAGCAGCCTGGCCACTCCCTCAAGAGGAGAGCTCCCCAATCCTTGCCTCGACAGGTTTTTATTGGCTTTCAATTTGCACAGGAATACAGGTAAAACTCATTAATCATTGTCAGGCAGTAAGGATCAAACAATAGATGGTATACAAAGAACTATAATGGCTTATTGTGAGCCAGGGTCTGTTAGCTAAAGGGCTACAAAACTTTGGAAAACAAATTCATTTCCTGCTTGGACTCTTATCATTTAATTGAGAGCATTCTAAACAAAACAGGTTTCACAGGATTTTACATATTCCTTCTTGGGCCTGATTACCCTAGGGAACCTGCCCGTTCTAGCACAGGGCTGCACCACCCTCTGTCATTGTTTCAGGCTTACGTCAGTCAAGGGAAGTAAAGCAGCCAAGAGATTAGGAGACTTCTCGCAGACAGAATGAGGACTCAGGCTTCGTCAAAGCTGAGGGGCGAGGGTCCATCACCCCCTTTTGCTGTAGCCCCCCAAGTCCTTCCTTGAGCCTCCATGTGATCATGCCTGTCTTAGTTGGTTCCCCCCTTGGGGAATCTTACCCGTCATTGGCTAACCGATTAAGCACTGGGGGCCAGTTATGGATGAAGTAAAAGGATCAGAAGTGGTACTCCTGCCAGGAAGATAAGCTTTGTCTCCTTAGTGGCTTATGGTCCAAAGGTCACTCACTCAGCCTTAGCCATGGGGGGGTTACAGATCCTGAAACCAGGCAGGGCGGTTTCCAACAGGTCGAGGCACTCTCTCTTTCAGAGAGTGGCCATGTTGTCCCTTTTTCTCCACAGGACTTTGGTAGTCTGTGTGAATTTGTTCATTGCATCCACAACATATGGACTCTGCAGGACGGGGCCTGCATCAAAAAACTATACTTTCAGGGATCATTTCTATAGTTCGTTACTAGAGAAGTTTCTCTAAATATGTAGAGCACCCAAAACCACGACAAGGAGGTGCAGTGTTCTCTCCTGAGCATGAAGCCAATTGGCAGATTTCACAACTGCCAATAGCCATTGATCATCATTCTTCTCTTCCTTTGGAAGAGTAAGAGGGAGAGAATGCAGTCTGATTGGTGAAAAAAAAAGTTATACATCATAATGAAGTAGGATTTATATCAAGGATGCAAGTGTGGTTCAACATCTGCATAACAATGTGATTCATCACATCAGCAAAACCAAGCATAAAAATAACATGGTCATCTCTATAGATGCAGAGAAAGTATTTGACAAAATTCAACATCCATTTATGATTTTAAAAACCTGTCAACAAAGAGGTTATATAAGAAACTTAAATCAACATAGTAAAGGCTATATATGACAAGCCCACAGCTAACATCATAGTCAATGGTGAAAAGATGAAAGTTTTTCCTCTTATATCAGGAAAACAATAAGGATGACAACTCTCACTATTATTATTTCATGTAGTATTGGAAGTCCTAGCCATAGCAATCATATAAGAAAAAGAAATAAAATCTGATTAGAAAGTAAGAAGTAAAACTGTCACTATTACAGATAACATGATACTATATATAGAAAACCCTAGAGGATCCACCAGAAAATTAATAGACAATGAATGAATTCAGTAAAGTATACGGGATACAAAATATACAGAAATCCATCAAGTTTCCATACACTAATGACACAAGAATTGAGGGAGAAATTAAGAAAACAGTTCCAATCATTCATGATTTAAAAGGATTAATATCATTAAAATTACCATACTACTCAAATCAATATACAAATTCAATGTATTTGTCTCAAAATACCAGTGCTACTCTGAGAGCCAGAACAAATAATGTCAAAATTTACATGAAATCACAAAACATGAATAGTAAAAGCAGTCTTAACAGTGAAGAACAGACTTGGACTTCTGGCCAAGATGGAGCCATAGGTACCTACAGTCTGCCCTCTCACACAACCAAAAGAAGGACAACAACAAATTTAAAAACAAAAAATAACCAGAACTGCCAGAAAATTGAACTATATGGAAGTCTGACAACCAAGGATTTCAAGAATAAATACTCATCCAGACCGGTAGGAGGGATGGAAAGAACCAGGGTGGAGAGGACTCATGAAAAGGCGTGGCTGGAGGGCCTGGTGGGGTGGGGTGGTGGTTGGTGGATAGACTTGACCAGGCAGCAGTGGGTGGAGTGGGTGGCCCTACATTTGCATGCTGATAAACTGGGAAGAACAACTAGGAAGTGAGACAGACTGCACAACCCAGGATTCTAGTGCAGGGAACTAAAGCCCCAAACCCTCTGACTGAAAAAAACCTGTGGGAGTTTAGGTGGCAGAATAAACTCCCAGCCTCACAGGAGAGTTCATTGGAGAGACCCACAGGGTCCTAGAAAGTACACAAACCCACCCACCTGGAAATTAGCACCAGAAGGACCAAATTTGCTTGTGGGTAGTGGAGGAAGTGACTGAAAGTTGGCTGAGAGCAGCGACTGAGAGCAGTGACTGAAAATTGAGCAAGCAGCAATTTTCCCTCTCAGACCCCTCCCGAAATAAAGCACCAGAATGCAGCAACAAGGGTTGCCACACCCTGATGAATACTTAAGGCTCCACTCCATACTATGTAACAGGTTTGCTGAGAGAAATAAATATGGCCAAATGAAAGAACAGATCAAAGCTCCAGAAAAAAAATACAACTAAGCAATGAAGAGATAGCCCACCTATCAGATGCACAGGTCAAAACACTGGTGACCATGATGCTCACAGACTTGGTTGAATACGGTCACAAATTAGAGGAAAATGAAGCTATGCTAAGTGAAATAAAGAAAAATGTATAGAGAACTAACAGTGAAGGGAATAAAACTTGGACTCAAGTCAACAGTTTGGACGAGACAGAATAAATAAACATTTAGGGAGAACAGAATGAAGAGACAAGAATTCAAAAAGATGAGGAGAGGTTTAAGAACCCCCAGGACAACTTTAAACATCCCAACATCCAAATCATAGGGGTGCCAGAGGGAGGAGAGGAAGAGCAACAACTGAAAAACTTACTTGAAAAAATAATGAAGGGGAAATTCCCTAATCTGACAAATGAAATAAGACTGCCAGGAAGTCCAGGAAGCTCAGAGAATCCCAAAGAAGTTGGACCCAAAGAAGCACACATCGAGGCACATCATAATTACATTAGCCAAGATGAAAGATAAGGAAAGAATCTTAAAAGCAGCTAAAGAAAAGCAGACAGTTACCTACAAAGGAATTCCCTTAAGGCTATCAGCTGGTTTCTCAAAAGAAACCTCATAGACAAGAAAGGGCTGGAAAGAAGCATTCCAAGTCAAGAAAGGCAAGAACCTACATCCAAGATTACTCCATTCAGCAAAGCTATCACTTAGAATGGAAGGGCAGATAAAGTGCTTCCCAGATACAGTCAAATTAAAGGAGTTCATAATCACCAAGCCCTTATTATATAAAATGTTAAAGGGATATATCTAAGAAAAAGATCAAAACTATGAACAATAACATGAAAACAAACTCACAACTATCAACAACCAAACCTAAAACAAAACACAAACAAAAACAAACTAAGCAAACAACTAGAACAGGAACAGATTCACAGAAATAGAAGTTACATGGAGGGTTATCAGTGGGAAGGGGGCAGGGGGAGAATGGAGAAAAAGGTACAGGGAATAAGAAGCATAATTGGTAAATACAAAACAGACAGGGTGAGGTTAAGAATCATATGGGAAGTGGAGAAGCCAAATAATGTATATGTATGACACATGGACATGAACTAAGGTGGTGGGGGGGATGCTGGTGGGAGGGGGTACAGAGCAGAGGGGAATAAAGGGGAGAAAAAAATGGGACAATTGTAATAGCATGATCAATAAAATATACTTCTTTAAAATATATTTTATTATGCTATTACAGTTGTCCCATTTCCCCCCTTTACTCCCCCCCTGCACACTCTCTCCCACCCACTTCCCCCTCTTTAGTTCATGTCCATGTGTCATAAGTTCTTTAGCTTCTACATTTCCCATAATATTCTTGCCCTCCCCCTGTCTATTTTCTACCTACTGTCTATGCTACTTATTCTCTGTACCTTTCCCCCCATCTCCTCCTCCCACTCCCCTGTTGCTAATCATCCATGTGATCTCCATTTCTGTGGTCCTGTTCCTGTTCTAGTTGTTTGCTTAGTTTGCTGTCTTTTTACTGTTCATATTTTTTACCTTCTTTTCTTAGATGAGTCCCTTTAACATTTCATAAAATAAGGGCTTGGTGATGATGAACCCCTTTAACTTGACCTTATCTGAGAAGCACTTTATCTGCCCTTCCATTCTAAATGAAAGCTTTGCTGGATAGAGTAATCTTGGATGTAGGTCCTTGTCTTTCATGAGTTGTAAACTTCTCTCCAGCCCCTTCTTGCCTGTAAGGTCCCTTTTGAGAAATCAGCTGACAGTCTATGGGAACTCCTTTGTAGGTTACTGTCCCCTTATCTCTTGCTGCTTCTAGGATTCTCTCCTTCATTTTTACCTTGGCTAATGTAATTATGATGTGCCTTGGTTTGTTTCTTCTTGGGTCCAACTTCTTTGGGGCTCTCTGAGCTTCCTGGATTTCCTGGAAGTCTATTTCCTTTGCCAGATTGGGGAAGTTCTCCTTTATTATTTGTTCAAATAAGTTTTCCAGTCATTGCTCTTCCTCTTCCCCTTCCCATACCCCTGTAATTCAGATGTTGGAATGTATAAAGATGTCCTGGAGGTTCCTAAGCCTCTCCTCATTTTTTTTTGAACTCTTATTTCTTCATTCTTTTCTGATTGTATGTGTTTTCCTTCCTTCTGGTCCACACCATTGATTTGAGTTCGTTTTCTTCCCATCACTACTGGTTCCCTGTGCATTTTCCTTCATTTCACTTAGTGTGGCCTTCATTTTTTTCATCTAATTTGTGACCAAAATCAACCAGTTTTGTGAGCATTTTGATCAGCAGTGCTTTGAACTATGCATCTGATAGGTTGGCTATCTCTTAGTCACTTAAAAGTATTGGCTCTGGGGCTTTGATTTGTTCTTCCATCTGGACTTTTTGGTGTTGTCATGTCTGTTACGTAAGGGGAGCGGAGCCTTAGGTGTTCACCAGGGCAGGGCAACCCAGTCACTGGGTTGTGAAATTGTAAGTGGGGGCAGGGTCTGAGAGGGAATGATGGTGCTTGTTCCACTCTCCATCAGATTTCAGTCCCCTCTGCTGCTTCCCACAAGCAAAATGGGCCCTTCTGGTGCTGGTTCCTGGGTGGGTGGGCTTGTGTACATTCCAGGACCCAGTGGGTCTCTCCAACACACTCTCCTAGAGGCTGGGAGTATCTCCCAGCACCTCAACCCCCACAGATGTTTTCAATCAGTGGTTTGAGGCTTTATTTCCTGGTGCTGAGGCCCTGGGTTGCACGGTCTGCCTGGTTGCCCATTTTCACCTGGTTTATCTGAGTGCAAATGTGTGACTGCAGATAGCCAGCTGCCTTGCATGCCTCACTGCATCTGCTTGTTGCCTCCTCGCACCCGCACCCGCGCCATGCACTGTCGGTGGGTTCTGCTAGCCGCCACCTGTGCCCTGCAACTGGGTCTGCCAGCCACTGCTTTTTCTTGCCGCGACCCCTGTCTGCTGGCCGCCCACTCCGCCCCTCTTACCAGTCTGGATGAATGGTTGTCGGACTTCTGTACAGTTCAATTTTCTGTCTGTTCGGGTTTTTTGTTTCTAAATTTTTGTTGTCCTTAACTTTGGTTGTGCAAGGAGTAACAGTGTGTCCACCTATGCCTCCATCTTGGCTGGAAGTAAAAATATACCTTAAAAAAAAAGAAGAAAAAAGTTGGGAATACCACACACCCTGATTTCAAACTATACTACAAAGCTATAATAATTAAAACAGTATGGTACTGGTGCAAAAACAGACACATAGATCAATGGAATAGACTAGAGAGTACAGAAAGAACCCTTATTTATATGGTCAATTAATCTATGACAAAAGAAGCAAGAGTATACAATATAGGAATAAGAGTCTCTTCTACAAGTGGTGCTGGGAAAACTGGACTGGTATATTTTTTTAAATGAAAGTGGACTGATCTCTAATATCATGCACCCAA